TATTGGGACCCCTCCTTTTGTTGGGTCCCTTTATTGGGACCCCACCTCTCGTTGGAACCCATTATTGGGACCCCTCCTTTTGTTGGGTCCCTTTATTGGGACCCCACCTCTCGTTGGAACCCATTATTGGGACCCCTCCTTTTGTTGGGACCCTTTATTGGGGTCCCACCTGTTGTTGGGACCCCACCTGTCGTTGGGACCCCACCTGTCATTGGGACCCAGCGTTGGGGCCCGACCTGTCGTTGGGAACTGACCTGTGGTTGGGACCACACCTGTCATTGGGACCCAGCGTTGGGGCCCGACCTGTCGTTGGGACCCGACCTGTGGTTGGGACCACACCTGTCATTGGGACCCAGCGTTGGGACCCCACCTGTCGTTGGGTCCGACCTGTCGTTGGGAACTGACCTGTGGTTGGGACCACACCTGTCGTTGGGACCCCACCTGTCGTTGGGTCCGACCTGTCGTTGGGAACTGACCTGTCGTTGGGAACTGACCTGTCGTTGGGAACTGACCTGTCGTTGGGACCCCACCTGTCGTTGGGTCCGACCTGTCGTTGGGACCCCACCTGTCGTTGGGTCCGACCTGTCATTGGGACCCCACCTGTCGTTGGGTCCGACCTGTCATTGGGACCCGACCTGTCGTTGGGACCCATCGTTGGGACCTGACCTAACGTTTGGACATGTTCATATCTGATAGATTCACTGCTTTTAATTTTTTTCTTCCAGGTGTGTCCAGCCACCTTCCTCTCACTGGGACCAGTTCTGTCTCACCAGCCTCCGTTTCTATCCCTCCTCCATTTGTTCATCCTCTTCCTCCCTTCAGTAGCTCTTTAGCTGCTCCCAGTCCCTCCCAGTTGACTGCCTCTTCTAAAACATTCCACACTGGTCCCAGTTTCCCATCGGTGGATTCCCCATCTTTGCCTCATCTGGCCTCCTCTGTTGGTCCACCCTTAGCAGCTGCTATGACGGCCACCTCTGGACAGCCACCAATGACAGGCTTCTCCAGGAGTGCAGGACATGACATCACACGTGGTCACGCTGGACGGACGCCTCAGACACCTCTGATGCCTACGTTCTCTAACGCCTCTCCGGTGCCAGGTTTGAGCCGCACATCGTTCTCTGGTTCAATGGCTGCATTTTATAGATCTAATTAAACAAAATGAGATGAAACTATAACTTGATTAATTAATATTTACATTGAGTCTGCATTTTATATTCATTAGGCTGTTATAAACCATTAGTCGGTTAGTATATCAATTGTTCAGTTGATTGGTGGAGTAATCAAAGAATAAAACAATCATTTTTTGTTGTAGCAACCTAAACTAGTAGAAATATATAATTTTTTTATAATATTAGTATTGAATAAAATTTCATTGCTAAAAATGCACTAAGGTTAGAAATTCACCTTCAATCTGAAAAAAATCTTATTTTCTTACGTGCAAAATCAGATGAGAGAGAAAATATTTCAAACAAAAAGAAATGATTGAGGCAAATAAACGCTACATTTCACAGAAATTACATCAGACTTTCAGTCTGATGCTTAAATTCTATTCAGTTTATTTCTATAGCACCAAATAACATCATGTCACCTCAGGGCTCTTTACAGAGGAAGAAGGAAACATCTAACATCAGCATAAAAAACAAAATATATATATATATATATATATATATATA